CGGCTCCCTTATTCACGCTTTCTGGGCATGTTCAAAACTTCACACCTATTGGTCATCTATATTCAATACATTCTCAGAAATATACAATGTTACATTTGAACCTTCTGCTCTAACTGCAATTTTTGGAATCATACCCCCTCATAGTTTACTCCCCAAATATAATTCAAATACAATAGCTTTTGCTACGTTGATTGCGAGACATCTGATACTGTTAAGGTGGAAACAGAAGGCCCCACCCACACATGAACAGTGGCTCTCAGAGCTCATGAGGTTCTTACATTTAGAAAAGATGAGGTGTACACTGGCAGGTTCAACTGCTAAATTTATCAAAACATGGCAGCCATTTTTACAGTACATGGAAACATTCAAAATGAGTATCTTATCATAACTAAACTACTGCTATATTCTTCTAGTCAGCTATGAACAGATTTTTGTATTTTTGTTTGTCTTTATTATTTATCTATTTATTGTGTATGTGTTTTTTTTTATTCTATTTTTATTTATTTATTCTTTTTTTTATTTTTTATGTGTGTGTTTTGTGTAAGGGTTATGTATGTTAAGAAAGACAGTGTTGTATAAAACATTAATGCTGTAAAGAATATGCTGTGAAAATTGATAAATAAAGTTAATTCAACTTTAAGTCCCCCCTTAATTTGCTGTGGATCATCACTTTCTTATACATAAAGAGCAAGTAATGAGCAGTCCTCTGCTTTGGGTCCAGCATTGTATTTTGGAGCCAGCAGCCCATTTTGCCAGTGTCGTGTCTCCGCACCAAGCATTGTGGGTATACACACAAACGCCTCCACCACGCATTTTGTCTGCCAGGGCTCTGTCGGCTCGATAACAAGTCAGCTGCTCCAGATGTATAGTCGGGAATGCCGGGATGGAGCCATGATTCAGTGAACACAGTCACGCAGCGGTTACTAACGGTTTTGTTTGCTGATCTTAGCAACCGAATGTCGTCCATCCTATTGTCCAGTGATCTTACGTTCGCCAGGAGTATGGATGGTATTGCTGGGCGAGTTGGGTTGGCAGCAAGCCTTGTTCCGACGCAAGCTCTCTCGCCTCTTTTTATAGTCCTGGTACAACAATTCTGACGAGTCCGTGATGAAGCCGATGGTTCCAAAGTTAAGAGCAGGTGTAGTATTCCCAATTCAGCCAGCGTCTTTGATTTTATGTCCAAATCATCCGTGCCGTTTTTTCCTTTCTTAATTGCAACAGTCGCTGTCGGCTGTATTTGAGTTCCGACGTAGTTCCACACGATAAACATTTCGAAAAACACATTTTAACAACATAAAAAAAACAAAAAAAAACTGCACGTTTAGAAGAAACAAGGAGTCGCTGCGTATACACGCGCCACATTCTAGAATGAACAAGATTTTTGTGTTACTTCACATTAATGATTCAAAACTTGGTCAAACTGTGTTGTAAGTGTTATTTAGCACATTCCCTGCTTTGTCAGAAGGAATCTCACTGATATTAAATTACATTAAAAAGATACCACACTTTCCAGTATAAATCCAGAAATAAGCAGCTTTCTCTTAGATTTTTACAAAACATGATTTCTCTATAACTTCAAAGTAATGAATACAATTTAGGTAAAATTACTTTCAGAGTGTTATTTGGCACATTCCCTGCCTTGTCAGAAAGAATCACACTGGTACTAACTTGCAGTCAAAAGATATCACACTATAACAATTCCAAAAATCACTGAGATAAACATCAAACTGGATTTTTGTGTTACTTCAAAGTAATGATTCAAAACTAGATCAAACTGATTTGTATGTGTTATTTAGAACATTCCCTGCCCTGTCATACAAAATCACACTGCTACTAAATTGCACTCAAAAGATCCAACTCTATCCAATATAAATCCAGAAATAAGCAGCTTCGACTAGATATGCACAAAAGAGGATTTTTCTATAACTTCAAAGTAATTAATAAATCTTAGGTAAAATGACTTTCAAACTGTTATTTAGCACCTTCCCTGCGTTGGCAGAAAAAAATCACACTGTTACTAACTTGCTGTAAAAGATATCACACTATCAAAATTCCGAAAAATATAAGACATACAGTATACATCAAACAGGTTTTTTGTGTAACTTCAAAGGAATTATTCAAAACTTGTTCAAATCACTTTGGAAGTGTTCTACATCACATTCCATGACTTCACAACCAAAATCTCACTTGCACTCACTTTCAGTCAAAAGATATCTCCAGTAGAATTCCAGAAATAAGCTCCTTTGGCCAAGAGATGCACAAAACAGGATTTTGCTATAACTTCCCAGTAATGAATACAATCTAGGTAAGATGACTTTCAAATAGTTATTTAACACATTCCCTGCATTGTCAGAAAGCATCACACTAACTAAATGGCAGTCAAAAGATATCACCTAATCAAAATTGTAAAAACATTGCTCTCACTTAGATGTACATAAACATTATTGTTGTGTTATTTCAAAGTAAAGATTCAAAACTAGGTCAAATCACTTGTGTTCCACATTGCATTCCATCACTTCACAACTTAAAATCTAAGTTGTACTTAAGTGTTCTACATCTTATGCCTTCACTTAACAACCAAAATATCAGTTGAACTGACTTGCAGTCAAAAGATATTACACATTCCAGTATAAATCCAAAAATAAGCACCTTTCGCTTACTGCACAAAAAAAGATTTTGCTATAACTTCACAGTAATGAATACAACCTAGGTAAAATGACTTTCAAATTGTTATTTAACACATTCCCTGTCTTGTCAGAAAGAATCAAACTGTTACTAACTTGCAGTTCAAAGATATCACACTATCAAAATTAAAAAAATTAATTGATCTCATACAAAGGATTGTTGTGTTATTTCAAAGTAAAGATTGAAAACTAGGTCAAATCACTTTGGAAGTGTTCCACATCGCATTCCATCACTTCACAACTAAAATCTAAGTTGTACTTAAGTGTTCTACATCACATGCCTTCACTTCACAACCAAAATATCAGTTGAACTGACTTGCAGTCAAAAATATCACACATTGCAGTACAAATCCAAAAATAAGCACCTTTCGCTTACTGCACAATAAAGGATTTTACCATAACTGCAAGTCATTATAATTCCAAAGTCAAATAATTCCAAAAATTAATTACTCTCATACAAAGGATTGTTGTGCTCCTACAAAGTAAAGATTCAAAACTAGGTCAAATTTCTTTGGAAGTGTTCTACATCACATTCCATGACTTCACAACCAAAATATTAGTTGAACTGAGTTGCAGTCAAAAGATATTACACATTCCAGTATAAATCCAAAAAAACCACCTTTCGCTTACTGCATAAAAAAGGATTTTAACATAACTTCACAGTAATGAATACAACCTAAGTAAAATGACTTTCAAAGAGTTATTTAACACATTCCCTGTCTTGTCAGACAGAATCAAACTGATTCTAACTTGCAGTCGAAAGATATCACCTATCCAATGTTCCAAAAATTAATTGCTCTCATACAAAGGATTGTTGTGCTCCTACAAAGTAAAGATTCAAAACTAGGTCAAATTTCTTTGGAAGTGTTCTACATCACATTCCATGACTTCACGACCAAAATCTCAG